TTAATAACGTTAAGTTCGATCACTGAATAGCCTCCCTCCTCACATGTGCCATTGCTGTGCTTTAAAAAGTTACATAACGTTATCTAATTTTCATATTATATTTCGAAGCATAGATTATAAATATTATTTTATAATAATAAAATGGATTAAAATTGGAACTAGAGAGTACTTTATTTAAAGTTCAAAAGAAAAATTTCAATTATTTTTGACTCCTAAGGTTTTAATACTTTACAAGATTTCTCAAATCTAATTTACTAGAAATTATATTAMAATACATTTTCAATTTTAACAGCTAAGGCTTGTAACTTTAAACAAGGTTCCTAACAAATAGATATTCTAACATAAACGTCATAAACTACTTAAAAATCTAAAAAAATACAAATCACTAATTATTGCTAAATAATAAATTATAATAAAAATATAAAATATACAATCGTCAGACTTTGTTCTTAAAATTTGATAAAATTCACTCCAAAACCCAAACCCTGTGAAAATAAACCCTAAGAGTGTGCTTCACAAAAACTGTCCCAATAATATATCTACTTATAAATATAATTAAAACCGTGTTATTGGTAGGTTATARCCTTATAGGTACTTAAAAATAAATAAATATTTTTACCTTTCTTGGAGTATTTTTACTGACAACATCAGTTTTTAAAGGATCTTTATTCTCGTCGTTCATTTTAAATTTAAAAATTATCAAATCACTCAAAAACAAATTAAAAAGGTTAAAATATTATGTAGGTACTGATTAATAAATTAACATGTGGTGTACCGGTATTTTCAACTATTTCCACACTGAACAAATTTGGTCGTATAAACAGAATTTCTCAGTGAAATGTSAACTGTGAACTGGTCTGCTCACTGGAATGACTGTTGTCAGTTACCAAAATTGTCGTAAATTCGCTACAAATATAGATACGGTGTTCAGGTTATTGACCGCGTCGGCCAATGGTCATTTGAGGAAGGGAGATTTCTCAACGTGGGTATTTTCCTCTGTTCGGCTTCGATTATTGTAGGTGATAGAAATAAATGCCTATAATATTGGCTATTTGTATAATGTCATTGACCCAATAAACGACGGATATATACCATATCTACCGAATTTAGATAAACTTACTCAAATATAACCATAGTGTCCATAGTCAAGAATATCAAATTAATATTTAATACATTTATGGATTCACCGACTTTTATATTACGA